AGGGCGGGGCTGTGCGGCGCTGGGGGCCGTCCGGGGTGGTGGGACTGGGGCTGCGCGCGCCCGCATTCTGGGTCCCCTAGTTGAGAGAAGCCGAGAGAGGAGTTTGGGTTCTGTGTCTGCTAATGGATCAAGGGCTGGGTCTCCTGGATCCATAAGAAAGGAGGGACTGGGGACCTCAAATTCCAGGAAGCCTCTCTAGTGGGGAGGTAGTGGGTGGACTTTTCTGTGGGGACAAAAGGGCCAGATACTCGTGGAGCCGGCACTGGGAGCCCAGAACACCAGAGTTATTTACTGGAGAGTGGACTGCGCCCCAGAATCTGGGCCCAGAGTCGGTGGAACTGTCATAAGACCAGAACTCTGGCCCTCTACAGGGAGAAAGCGAGGATTGGGCACAGACTTCTGTTTCCCCAGCACATAAGGGGCCTGCGGCCCTGGTTCCTGCGTCCACCATTAGAGAGGGGCTGGGGCCCGGGGTCCTGGAGCCCTCTAGAGGGGAGAAGGTCGGGGATCTTCACTCTAGGTCTTCCATCGGGGCGAGGAGTGAGCTTCCTATATTCCTGGGAGAGCGGGGGCCTGGGATCCCAGAATCATGTGTACCCCAGTGGCGAGGGGGTTTGGGAGCCCGGGGAGAAGGTCGAGGGGACCGGTTCTCATGTGTTCCCCAGAGAACAGGGGGTTCTGTATCCTTGGAGGCTGAGAGATTCGAGCTGAGAGGCCCCAGGAAGTAAGAGGAAAGGTGTGCTCCCTCTGGCACCTTGGGGTCTCCCGGGACAGATTGCAGATGGGGGATTCCTGAACACAACCTGCCCCTAGTGCGACCTCGCGACAGAACCAAAGCCCTCCCCGGCCGCACATTCCTGAGCCACGTGAATCCTCCCCCCCTCCTCCGTGCTTCGTTCTTCGCGCACGCGCGGTCGCGCGGGAGGGGGCGGGGCCTGGGGAACGTGAGGGCGCCCGTGGCTGCAGGGGGGGCGGCGGGAATGCAGGCGCCGGCACGTGACTCGGCCCTGAACCTGTGTCCTCAGCTGGCCCCGGCTTGCTCGCTCTTAAAGGCACAGGCCGCCCCTCCTCTTAAACCAACCTCCTGGAATCTCAGAACCGTTTCCGCTTCGTTTCCCTAACTCTTGAGAGCCAGTAGCTCTTAAGAGGCTAAGTTGAGGTCTTTTCAATGCATTTGATTCTTTTTCCCTCAACAGCCTGGAGTCTAGGCTTTGGTCAGGGATTCAGTAAGAAGGATTCAGCCTAGACTAGAGGAAAGAAGCTAACACTGACTCTGAAGCCCTTAGGTTTTACAAGCTATAGCCCAGACTCATATGTTACTTCCGGCAAGTCAGGTATGATTGGGCCCCAGTTTCCCTGTTTGTAAAAGTTCATTCCATGATTTCTGAGCATCTTTGTGGTTTAGAGAACCTTCATATTTTACAGTAGGGAGGTTGACCCCTGGTGGACCTCATAATGGCCTTCCTTGTGGTGGATATGATGCCTGAGCAGAGAGTAGCCTCTGGGAACCCCCTCCCCCAAATAAATACACACTCAGTTGACACATTCTATTTCCTCAAGGCCTGACCTCTCGGGACACACCCAGCCCTGTGGACCCAGACACCGTGGAGGTGCTGATGACCTTTGAACCCGACCCCGCTGATTTAGCCCTGTCAAGCATTCCTGGCCATGAGACCTTTGACCCTCGGAGACATCGCTTCTCAGAGGAGGAACTTAAGCCTCAGCCCATCATGAAGAAAGCTCGGAAGATCCAGGTGCCAGAAGAGCAGAAGGTGAGCACTGCTGGATGTAAAACACAGGCTTGGCCGGCAGAGGCCCCACTGCCAGAGGTGGCCCGTTCCTCACTGTCAGGCCTGGGCTTCTCACGGGGATTAGCTCTCAGGTTCTCCTAACCTACAGCCAAGGATCAATTCTCCTTGGCCATGGGGTGCAAGGGGGCAGAGGTTTGGGCTTAAGATTTATGAAGATAGTATCATTGTGGGATGCAGACTCAGCCAGCCCTGCTGGACGTGGTTGTATAGGCTTGGAGCTTCTCGTATCGGTTAGACCCAGAACCCTCACTGGGGCAGGCTTCAGGCTCTGCTGGGCTCAGTTGCTAAGGATGGCATTTCTTAGCAACGGGGTATCAGCCTATCTCTTCTTAGCAGCCAGCCAGGCCAGGGCATCCTGATTTGGGGCATCCTTTGGAGTGGTTGCATCTGTGTAGGATGCAGACTTTGCCAGCCCCTCTAGGCCTTGTTCCTGGGCCTGGCTGGACAGCTCCTTGGCAAGCGGCCTCAGTTCCCATTAGCAGCCGGGGCCACATTCTGGTTTGGGGTGCTTTGGGCAGTCACTGCATCCTTCTAGCATTCTGTCTTTGCCAGTTCTGGGGTCTCCCCCAGCAAAAGGTGCCTGGGCTTGTCACAAGACTTTGCCATGCCGTTGTGTAAGTAAGACACAACTACTTGACGCAACCAGAACCAGCCTTTAAACCAAACCTAGACCAGTGTTTTCTCCTGCCACAGGGCCTTGTTGTTAGGGACTGGATTAGCCCTAGCAAGCAGGAACTAGGCTTAATTAAATAAGAGTGGAGGGGCATCTTTCAGAGCTCTGGGTGGTCCTTGTTACTAAGGAGTAGTCCTCCTCAGCAACCAAATTCCAGGACTGGAGAACCTAAGCATAATGGCGTGGGGAGGTCTCAAGATAGGCCTTTTTGCTAAGGGACAGCTTGTCTAGCAACCAGGGCCTGTTGGGGAAGAGGCAGCTCCCTGGCCTCCGTTCAAGGCTAGTGGGTCAGAGACTGGCTGCATCACTGGCACCACTTAGACCTCACTTTTGTTTGCTGAGGAGGGATGAGGTTGCCTTGGCAACCAGGTCAAAAGGCCTAGCTCTGGGAGGATTCTATGGGACACTAAACCCCATCACTAGGGAGCCTAGGCTTCTCTTAACAACCAGGATCTGGAAAGGTGATATATAGTGATTATGCTTTTATGATTATATATCATGATAATGCTTTTCACTGGAAGAAGCCCTCAGACCCTGAACGCCTTGTTGCTAGGGAACAAGCATCCTTAGCAACCAGGAGCTAACTGCAGGCCCTTGTCAAGTGAGGAGGGCTGGGTTCTGCTTTGCAGTGGAGACTTGAAGTCCAGTTGCTTGGAGTGGGAGGCTGTCTCATACCTTAGCTGTTGCTAGGGGTCTGCTCTCCTTAGCAACCAGGGACCTAGAAGGGCTGACCTTTGGGTACCCATCCCAGAGGAGATCCATCCTTTAGGCCCCACTGCTGGTCAAGAAGCAGCCCCGGGGGTGTCTTAAATGCCCTCTGGTCCTTGAAGGCACAGGCAAAGCTGCTCTCCAGGTCCTTAGTGCCTTCTCACCCTCCCACCCCCAGGACGAGAAGTATTGGAGCCGGCGGTACAAGAATAACGAGGCAGCCAAGCGGTCCCGAGACGCCCGGCGGCTCAAGGAGAACCAGATATCTGTGCGGGCGGCCTTCCTGGAGAAGGAGAACGCCCTGCTGCGGCAGGAGGTGGTGGCCGTGCGCCAGGAGCTGTCCCACTACCGCGCCGTGCTGTCCCGCTACCAGGCCCAGCACGGAGCCCTGTGAGGCCGCCCCCTACCCTCACGGCGGATCTCTCCTCCGTCTCGCTCAGACTGGCGCCCTGACACCCTCTTCCCTCCCCGCCCTGTGGCCCACGGCCGGCCAGCTGGGTGCCCCAGGGACGTGATGATGCAGATAAATACATTTATATTTTTAAGAAAAAGCGAGCCTCCCCCCTCCCTCGCGGGGGCGGGGAGGGTCTTCAGTTGTGTGCCCCCGGCACGTCGGGGACCCCGTCTTCCCACCGCCTCCGTTAACACGATCCTGAATAAATCTTGAGAACCCCAGAGCCAGCTGTCGTGGGGGAGGAGGCAGCTCCCTGGCCCGAGTTCAAGGCCAGCGGGTCACACTGGCCACAGTCCGTGGGCAGGTCTGGGCTTTGGGGCCATAAAAGGCAGGAGCCACTGGAAGCGCTGAGTCCGATCCCTCCCACGGGCTGCCGGATGGAGGAAGGGGCGAGGGCCTGAGAGGAATGAAGCGACGGCCTTTATTGCATAGACCTTTTCAACTGCTTTGAAGATTGGGGTCGGTGGACGCACAGGAGACAGAAGACAAGGGAAGTGAATTTCCCCGCCCCCATCCGCGGGGGGAGGAACATTAGTGCAAATCGGGGAGCAGGTCCCGGGCAACCTGCCCCTCCTGGGCGGATTGGCCAGTCAAGTGGAGGCACCGGAGTGTGTAGGGCGAGACCCGGCCCTGACTGGCCAGTGTACTAAGGCCTCCCCTAGCCCGTGCATTCCAGGTCCCGTCATTGGACGGTGCGTAAGAGGCCCCGCCCTCAGCCGACCTGGCTTTCTACGAGCCAGACGCGGGGCTCTGGAGTGGGCCCTGGCCTTATTAGTCAGGCACTAACATTGGGGCGAGCACTTTTATCTGTGACCGTGACGACCCCTTGGAATTCGGGCCAAGCTCCACCGTCACCTCTGGTCCCCTGAGGGCGGGCGCAATCCTGAGACGGGGCCGGCGGCCCTCCGCCCTAATTCTAGCAGCCAGGCCCCGCCCCCTGGCTCAGCCCCCGCCCCCTGGAATGTAGGGCCCGCCCCTGACGGACTCCAAGCTTGGTTAGGTTCAGGGTTCCCGCCCCGGGCGGCCAGGAGGCCCAGTGAGCAGCGTACCGAGGCCCGGGTGCACCTGCGCCTGTAGCGGCCCGTACTCCACCAGCTCCCCGTCCACCGTGAGCACGCCGCGAGGTGTGAGCGGCTCGAGGCGGAAGGCACGGGCTGCGGCATAGCCCAGCTGCGGACAACCCAGGCTGAACTGGCTCCCGCGCTCCATGGCCAGGAAAACGCGCAGCAGCGCAGCCCGCGAGATGCCACTGCGCACCCAGCACAGGTGCACCAGGCCGTCGTCAAAGCGCGCGTGGGGAGCTGCCACCATGTCAGCCCCCAGGTGGCTGGGTGAGATGGCCAACATGAGCACAAAGTCCCCCTCCAGCGTCACCCAGCCTGGGGGTAGTGGGGTGCCCAGGGGAGGAAGCAGGTGGTCGGGCGGGCCCCCAGTAGAGATGGCTGCTGGGGCATCAGGGGTGGGAGGCGGGAGCCCAGAGGATGTTGGCATTTCTGGGGCTCCCTCAGTGATGGGCGAGAGTAGAGCTGTCTTGGGAGATCCAGGGGGTGAGGGCACTAGTGGGTCTGGGGACAATGGAGCATCCCCAGCCCCACCCCAGTCCCCTGCCAACTCCAGGCCCCCACCATTGACAGACAGGATGGGCAGGGGCTCAGGTGAGCTAGGGGAGGTCAGGGCAGGCTGGGGCAGGGGCAGGGGCAGGTCAGACACTGAACGATGCAGGGGTGAGTGGGCGACGGGTGGGGCTGGGGCTGGGGCCAGGGTCAGCTCCGACTTGGCTCGGGGCAGGCCCTGGGCAGGGGTGGGTGAGGCAGATTCCACAGTGGCAGGGAGGTAGGAGAGGCGTCCGCGGTAGGTGTGCAGTGTGGCCAGGCCCAGCATCGTGCCCAACGTGAAGCGGGCACTGCCCAGGGCCCTGAAGCGCTCGCTCTGGATGTCCACGTCTGACACAAAGCCCCAGGCCACAGCCAGGAAAGAGAAGCAGCGGGAGCCCGAGGCCAGTGTCACAGAGAGCAGGTCCAGCGGGTGGCCGCCACCCCGGCAGAGCAACAGTGAGCAGTTGAGCAGCAGGTCGATGCCCAGGGCCGGCTCAAACCTTCACAGCCAGAGATGGGTGAACAGTGAGCAAGAGTAGAGGGCTGGGGCAGAGACACGGAGTGCAGGGGGGAGCGGACTGCAGGGGGCCAGGCAGGCCACGTCCCTGGGCCCACCACAGCCACCTGGCCACCTCCAGATGGCCTCTTCTTACGGGGCCAGGTTCCCTGTCAGTTCTTTCATTCCATAAGCATTCACTGGAGGCCAGGCAGTTCTAGGCACTAGGGATACAGTTGAGGACAAATGGCCAAAACATCTGGGGGGCTGTGGTGAGCATCCAACAGCCACACTGATGGACTCGACTGACAGTGGACTGGCTGAGGGGCAGAAGTGGGGGCAGATGTGCCAGGTCCCTGTCACCCCAGGAGGGCTCATCCCTCCCCTCATGGCATCCTCAGGCTCACCCAAGGTAGGAGCACCCCACCTACCCGCCATGCTGGTTCACAGCTCCGGCCAAGGCATTGCCGGAGCCACAGGGAAGGATGCCCACGGGCGTCTTCACAGCCTCTTCCCAGTCGGGGCGATCTAGGAGTCCGTTCAGCACCTGGAGGGCGGGAGAGCAGGCACCTGGGTGCTGGTCCTGGCCTCTGCAGTTCCCCAGGGCGCAGGGTCGGGGGAGGGGGCTCCTGACTTACCTCATACAGCAGCCCGTCTCCCGACACTGTGACAATGCCATCCCACTCGCTCAGCCTCAGCCCCTGGACCAGCTCTCGGGCGTGGTTCTGCCGTTCTAATGTGGGCAACCGGGAGGTGAGGCAGACTGGTCCACCCCTACTCCCCAGGACTCAAGAGTCCTAGCCCCCAGTCCCACCTTCCATCCTGACACCGCCCTTACCTGTCTGGATGAGGTTGAAGGACAGCCCAGCTTCAGAGATCATGGGCAGCACGTGGTTCTTACACCACTGCCACGCCAGGCCCCGGCCCCCAAAGGGATTGATCAGTAGGAGCAATCGGGGTGGCCTTGGCAGAAGCTCGGGGGTGATTTCTGCAGAGAGAGGGGAAGGAGTCTACAGAGGCCAGGGTCCCAGGCCCCTCACCTCAGAAATAGTAAGTGCAAACAGCCCCTTATGCAACTGGTGGAGGGGTGGCACCGGAGCCTGCGGGGAGTTAAAAGTTTTTTTCTCCCAGGCCGCACCTGCCCAGGCCCAGGTGCAGAGCCCCGCCCCTCTCTCCCAGGTGCTAAGACAAAGGCATGGCTCAGGTGTTTAATCCTAGTGCCCTTTGGACCCACGTGTGGGAGGAGGAAGGCAAGCTGTGGTTTCCACTTTCCTCACCCTCCAGACACCTGGAGCCCAGGATCAGGTTACTCCACTGTGTGAGGCTCCTTCCCTGTCACCATCCCCACCAGGGCCCCAGGCAGCCAGCAGGATCCTGGAGGACCAAGGGAGGCCCAGCAGGTGGGGGCCCTGGAACCTTTACCTTCCTGTGCCAACTGAGGACCCTGGGTGGGGGCCTCTGCCCAAAAGCCTTCTCTGACCCCCCCACAGGCTGGATTAGATACCACCACTGAGCCCCTGGAATGCATTAGGGGACCTCTGTGAGGGGACCCTGGTGGTGACTGATTATGTCTCAGTCTGCTGCTCTCATCAACTGGGGAGCCTCTGACTCATCTGTGGTCAGGACCTGTGGAAGGGGGGAGGGGACCAAGACAGAAATCTAGCAAGAGAGCAGACACAAATCATTTCTTTCTGCCTGTGATTTTGTTCCTTCCGCAGCTCATCCCTGTCTGGGTACCACTCTTTCCATACAGACCCAGAGAGACACATCACACAGACACACACAGAAAGGTAGAGACAGATGCCCACAGAGGGAGATCCGCAGAGACACCGAGGTGGCCCTAGGACAGAGCAGCTGCCCAGTGCCTCACCCCCGTCCCCAGGCAGTGGCAGTCCTCGGAGCAGACACGTGAGGGCAGTGGCCCAGCGCTGGGCCTCAGCGCGGTTCTCCTCGTAGGTGGCCGCCCCGTCGGCCCGAAAGGTGCGTGCGGCTCTGCGCCGGCCCCCGCGCCGGCCTCTTGGGTAGGTGTAGATGCAGAGGTAGGCTGCTGGGTCCGAGGGGCTGCTGCTCCGCAGAGTGCAGCAGCCTGAGACCTCAGCCAGCGGGACCAGGCCACCCCGGGGCCGGGCTTCAGGCTTTGGGCGCAGCCGCTGTATGTGTAGGGCCTGCGGTGTGAGAGTAAGGGCAAAGCGGGGGCCGCGGGCTGGGTAGGAGCCAAACTCGCCATGCAGGAGTGGAGTGCTGGCGGCTAGTGGTGGTGGTGGGGCCATGGCCTTGGCCCTGTCCAGGGCACTCCTAGACCTGTGGCCCCAGCTCCAGGTCAGCTCCTGGTCCGGCCTCTGTGGGGAGGGAGGAGGGCAGGAGTCAGAGTCCAGGACCCTCATGAGAGGGAGGCAGGGGCAGGGCCTGTGGACAGGAGGAGACAATGAGGGGCAGTGACAGTGACATGGAAGCACCAGAGACAAACAGACTCAGACAAGTGTGGGGAGACTCGGGGGATGCAGAGTGGAGGCTGGTTAGACAGGAAGGCTGGCATCCTGTAGGGTTCACAACCGGGCATGCAAAACATTCATTTATTTATTCCCCCAATGATTATTCAGCACCCTGTATGTGTCAGGCCCAGCAAACACAGCAGGGAATAAAAGAGACAAAAATCCCGGCCTTCCTGGAGCTTGTATTCTAATCAGAAGACAGAAAAACAAGATAAAGAAGTAAAATACATAGTGTGTTGGATGATGATAAGGGCTTTGGGGAAAAATAAGGCAGAAGAGAGAGATCAGGATGGTGGAGACATATGAAGAAATGGACACGCAAAGACAGAGAAAAAGACAACACATACACGGAGTCATTTCCAGATGCAGAAGGTAGGGACGCTCAGACACAAAGAGAAAGAGGGATAAGGTCTGAGAGCCAGAGAAACGCTGAGAGAACCAAACAGTTGCAATGAGATGAAACCTAGGATGATGCGAGATTCTTAGGAGAGTGAGAGTTAGGGGCTCCAGGAACCGTCTGAGAGGCAGAGAGAGAACAGAGTTAGAAGGCAGAGAAAGAGCAGATAGGCATGAGGTAGGGGATGTAGGCAGCTAGACAGACTGAGAAAGGGACGTGACATGGAAGGATTAAGGGGTCACAGAGCTAGAGGAGCCACACGCAGGCACCTGCAAGGGACAGGGGGCAAGAGCTGAACCCCGAGCACTGACCTGGGCATCTGGCCGCATGCTCTCCAGGGAAGGGGTGGGAGCAGGGCCTGAGGTCCCCTCCCAGAGGCCCTCCTCCTGGTCTCTCTACCCAGCTTCTGCCTCGTCCTTTCAGCTCAACTTTGTCCCCCATTGCTTCACCCACCCAACAACCTGCCCGTCCTGCCACTCACATTCCCCTGGGCCCAGATCTGTCTCAGACACACCCTCATCTGTGGACTCACCCTCAGGAGCCACCTCTGCCCCCTGCCCTGGGCAGCTCCCTCAGGTCCGACTCCTAAACTCAAATCAGGCTTGGGCTCAGAGCCCCAGATCTCCCACAGTCCTGGGCCTGAGTTTCTGTCCCTAGGTCCCCAGGTCCCCATTCTCTCCATCCCCCAAGTACCCCAGACCTGGGCCTGGGTCTCCATCCATAGTTCCCCCCAATCCCTAAGCCTGAGCCTCTGTCTCCGGTTCCCCCGGTCCCGGGCCTGCATCCCCGCCCCGTTTCCAGAACCCAGCCCGAGACCTGGATTTCCATTCCTGGATCCCTCAGTCCCGGTTCTGGTTCTCCATCTCCATCCCACACCCCTGGTACCCCTGTCCCGGACCTGCGTCTCCGTTCCTCTTGGTCCCTCAGTCCCCCAGACTCTGGTCCCTGCCCCGACCCCCGCAACCTCCTCACTCGCCGGGTCCTCGTCCAGGCGGCCCCTCGAGTCGGCACCAACCGCCCCCATCAGACCTAGGGGCAGAGGGAGGGTGTGCATCCGTTCAGCCAATGGCCGTGCAGCCGGCCTGAGCCGCACCAATGAGGGCGCGCGGGGGGCGGGGCCAGCCGACTCGCGAGCATGGCGAAGGGGCCTTCGAAGGGAGAGCCGGAGAACTGGGCGGGGTATCGCGCTACGCGAGACCGGCCGCCATCGTAGGTGAGGGCACACGCGCAGCAGAGGCGGCGTCACGACCCCAAAGGCAGCGCCTCTGTCGCCATCTTTGTTGAAGGCAAGTGGGCCTGTCCCATCCATTGCGTTTATAAAAGAGAGGGGCATGGGGCAGGAGGTCTTTACCTGCAGATAGAGAGACTGACCCTAATACAGGTAACAAAGACCCAGAGATATGCAAAGAGAATTTGTAAAAGAGACCTAGAGAAACCGAGTCAGGGGCAATAAGAGGCTTAGAGAGAGAGTGTTGTCTTTTTCAGACAGTTACAGAGAATCAGAGAGACACAAAAAAGGAAAAATATAAACAGAGACAAAGACAGGAGAATTGAGAATGTACAAGGTAACGACACAAGAAAACCCAGAAGATAATGGACACAGATAGAGAGAGACGGGAACAGACACTTCTGGAATGAAAACCAGGGAGAGAGGCTCATAAATTCACAAAATTTACCTTGGCTCCAAGAGTGGAGGCAGCACGACAGAAACATCTGTGCGGTGAAGGAGCCAGTTACACCACGTGGCAGAGACACAAGGAAAGAGATGGGGAGAGATGGTATCTGACGCAAACAGCTAGATCAGGGGTGAGGGAGGAAAAAATGGTTGGAGGCCCAGAGGCTGAGAGGAACTGAGACCAAGAGACAGAAAGCAAAGAGCTTGACAGAGAGAGAGAGAGAGGCAAAGACACGGTGAAACTGAAAGAAATCAAGGCAAGAATAGTATCAGGAGACCTTGAAACAGACAGGATTGTAGAGAAATAGACACAAGCAGAAGGAGACAGGCACAGAGCTTGCTAGAAAGAGATTAACGGAGGAAGAATTCATTTCTTGCCAAACAATGTATGCTGTGTTCAACCCACGGTAGCAACAGATAATATGTGCCAAAGAATGATCCAGCGAGAGAGACAGAAACCCAGTAAGATGGAGAGACAGGGAAACACAGCACCTGAGCTTGGGGCCCCAGGAGAAAGAAGGGCAGACACACTCACTCAAGAGGCTGGGACTCCAAGGCAGAGACCAAGTCACAGAGACAAGGAGCAGGGACAAGGAGGAGGAGGAAATTGTGTCCCAGGGCACGGTGAGCTTGACTTTCAGATGGATCCCTACCTGGTCCTGCTGCTCGTCTGCTTCAAGGTGTCCATTCATCTGCTGGCCCTCTGCCGTGTGACCCCCATCAGCAAGACCCTGGCCCTGGGACGGAGGCCATGGGAGGGTGGTATGGGCAAGGAGTCAGGCCTCACTGTCCAGGCTCTGGCGTTTGGCTCTATGGAGGAGAGGTGAGTAAGTAGGGGCACTTGGAGAATACAGGAGGCCAGGCTGGACGTGCTGGAGGCCCAAGAGGCAGGGCCTCCCTGAGGAACGAGAAAAGAGGGGACAGGCCAGCTTCATCACTGCCCCAGCCAGTCCATTTTGTCCCACCCAATAAGGGCTAATAATAGGAGTGGAGGCTAATCGAGCACTTACGCGCAAAGCATTGTCCTAAGCATTTTTACTAATTTATCTAATGATGGAAAATACCCTATGTGCTATACCTGTTATCATCCCCCTTTTTGCAGATATGGAAAGTAGAGCACAGAGATGTTATGTGGCTTGCCCAAGGTCACACTGTCAGTAAGTAGCAGAGCCAGGATTTGAATTTGGTTACAGCTGGCAAGGCCCCCTCTCACATCTTTCCAAGGCTCTGCTTCTCCCTGGATCTCCATCTTCCCCCTCTTTCTGGGTCTCCTCACCCCTTGGGTCTCCATTGCCCCCAACCTCGGTCTCTGTCCACTCCCTCTCTGGGTCTCCATTTCTTCTCCGCTCTGAATCTCTGTCTCCCTCTCTCTGAGTCTCTCCTCCCCTCTCTTTCAGGAGCTTTTAACCCATCCCCCCTCCACCCCATGCCCCAAGCCCGGGGCCTCAGTGTGCCTCTTCCGCGCTCCAGTACCGTGCACATTCCTCACACCGAACCCGCTGGTCCACTTGAATCTCTCTGGCCGGGAAAAGCAGCCCTCACGTGGCAGAGGCTGAAGAGGGGTCAGGGAAGGGTCAGCTGGGGGCAGAGGGAGAAGCGGAACCTAAAAGGTGGAAATACTGGATGCGACAGACTGGGTTGCAGCAAGATCACGTCCGGTTAGATCTCAAGTAGGACTTCCCCAGTGCGGCCGCGCCTGGAAAGCGCAGCTCGAGATAAGGCAGCGGTGAGCCTGATAAGGAAACGCCCTAAGCGTGGGATAAGAGGTTTCCCAAGGTCCAAACTAGTCCCGCCAGCCCCGCCTCCTCACCTCCAATACTCGGCCCGCAGGGTCTTCCGGGAGCCACAGAGAGGCCGTCGTCGTCGGGCCAGAGCGTCACTACACGACGCGTCCTCCTAGCTCCTCGCGGCATCTCTCGGTCCCAGATCCCTTTCTTCCGGAAGACTATCGAGAACAGGGACTGGATAGGGCCAGAGAGGCCCCCGACGTGCTGGCCCTTCCCTCCCTGACGTAATGTTTGCTCCCCTCTGGAAGTTCCTCCACCCTTTTCCGGCATCTCCCATCTAGCAGGTCATCAGATTCGCCATAGAGAGGCTCGAGGCCTGGTAGAGCGCCGCGTCGCGCCCAGGTGACGTCACGTAGGCGCCACTGGCGGCAGGCTTTCCCCGCCCACCCCGAATCCTTGCTCTCTTTCCGGACCTGGCTGAGCAGGGGGCGCCATCATGGTGAGCGCGCTGTGCCGCTTTCGGGGCTCGGCCATCCGCCGCCATCCGCCGCGGTCTTGGGCTGGGGATGTGCCAGGGGGAGGCAGGGGTTCCGAGGGTGTCCGAAGGAGGCGACTGCCGCGGTGGGGAGCTATTTGGGGGGGCCCGAAGACGAGGGATGTGTCGGTCATATCAGCCTCCGGCCCGTCCTGTACTTTTCTGTTATAGCTCCCACTGAAAATTCAGGTACAAGGAGGTTAAGTGATATGACCGGGCTCACAATGCCAGGAAGTGGCGGACCCGGGATTCAGACCCCGGCGCTGGTCCCACAGCCACTCTTAACCTCTTTGCTGCCTCTACCCGGACCTGTCACTCCCCAGCCTGGAAAGTTGGGTTCTGGGGGTGTCGAGCGTCCGTTGTCCGGATTTGGGGGCCAGGCAGGTCTCCGTTCGCGTCTCAGCTCCCTTGCCCGCCTGTGATCTTGCTTTCCCGGCCTGCGCCCCAGTTGCTTCATCTCGCCGTCTGGGCCACGTACATTCTGTCTCATATCTGAGTTTGGGGAGAAATAAGTCCCGGGAAGTATTCTTCACGGGTTCTTGCATACGTTAAGGATAAATAGGAGCTATTAATGATTAAGTAGTTGTCTGCAATTCATAAGATAGTTTAGGAATATCTCAGGAAAGCAGGCAGGGGGTGTGTAGTTGAAATCATGGGCTTCTCTCAATTTTCTTCGCG